TTGCAACTTTAAATAATCCAATTAAGGTGTACATCCAAATTTTATCATAACATGTAATTTTGTTGTAAAAATTTTTTAGGATTATCTTAAAAACTATTTTCATATCTAATTAGAAAAATTTTAAACTCCAAAAATGGTTAAAATCAAGTAGATCTATAAACATATGAAAGTCATGAAAATGGATGGTCTAGATTATGTGTTGCAAGATGTACTATTTTTGGGACTCAAACACTGTGTTTTTTAATATTCATACATCTCGATGTTGAGATGATCAATTAAAGAGTTTTTCAACACTAAAGCAGCCTTTCTGATAGATTTTTGAGGTGCATATGTGATTCTACATTTTAAGGTTGCAACCTTATATAAACTTTTCCCTTTAACAATTTATGAAATATATCTAAATATATAAATATTTTATTTTAGAGTCAGGTCCAATCGGGTCCAATCAAGTCCGGGTCCCTTATTATATTTTCAAGTCTGGGTCATGATTTGAGTCCCATAATATCTTTTTGGGGGCATGACCCATTACCCATTGCCATCCCTAGAAGCCGCCCCTTTCAATGCTAAATAATGGAAGGGGCGGCTACCATTTTTGTGGAATGTACCGAAGACGCCTTAAGAAAGTTTTTAATCTTGGTTAAGTGAACGCTCAAAAACAGAAAAAAAAATCATTGTAATGCATTTGATTTTTTTTTTTTTCTAATGAAGGTTGAGCTTAGGGGTGGCAATGGTATGACTGGCTTGGCCCTGAAAAATTTGAACTTGGGCTACAAAATGTGGCTCAAGGGCTGGGCTAAGGCCTGGCAGGCTGGGCATGGGCTAGAGACACTGTGGTATTGCCTAGCCCGGCCTTTTGTTATTTTTATTTTTTTTTATTTTTTCCATTTGATACAACAATGGTCCTATACAGGTCTTCCTAACTGTGATAGGGCCAAGGACTGGGCCTCTTTGGCCCTGTCAAAGCCAGACCATGCCTGGGCTGGGCCTATGGGTATCAGGGCTAGTTCAGCCTGGGCACGGCCCGTTGCAACCACTTGACCTTTTCCACTTTAATAGTTAGTAACATGTATATTCTCTAATGGCTCAACTTTCTCTCTTCGGAGGCCAAATCTCAAATATTTGATCCCGTATAGATTTGATCCCTTCCATTCTTATTGACTCCTTCTCTTTTCTCAAAAGAATATCCTATATGAATAATAAGACATCTTATGTATAGTATACAATCTCTATATAATATACACATAACATATAAGACACATTTTATTTTCTTGACTTTCAAAAGAGGATTATCTTATGTGTGTTATTATTGAGGTGAGCTGTTGACATGTTCCTTGGCAAGAGTTAGATGCAATGTAAAAAAAAAAGGGGGGTTTCATATGATCTAACCCCCAAAATAAATAAAGGTTATCTCTTTCCTTGAAGATATAAGACTCTTGTGTTAGCACATTGTGCATTTAGTCCTTCACTCTCTCCGGCAAAAGGTTTTTCAATACAAGATTTTGAGATCTATTCAAGAATAACTATGCAAACACATGAGAATGGGGTTGGGGTCATGATGATAGCACTACCTGAGCCGCATGGTGAGGACTTGGACTTCATTCTTATTAAGGTAGGGGCTACATCCCTAGTGACTCACCCAAAAAAAAAATTAACTATGCCAATACTACTAAAAAAAAATGAAAAAAAATTAACTATGTCAATAATAGTAAAAAAAAATGAAAAAAAATTAACTATGCCAATACTAGTACAAAAAAATGACAGAGAGAGGGAGAGAGAAATTTTGAGGTCTTAAATTACTTAGATATAGCTGCTCAAAAAATGGATGGTCACCATTCAATCTTGGATTGTTATTCTTTTCAAGCTAATTTAGAGGGACTATGATTTATTTATTTGTTTTTGAGGTTAGTCACTAAATTGTGAAGGTTACATCACCTAAATTATCATGTAGTAGTGATGTGTTCGTGTTTGGAAACAAGAAAATTAAGATTCCTTTTTTGGCTCTATTCAAAAGTTTACCATAACTCTCACTATCTTGCTCTGTTTCACCCTCTAATTTCCAACACTGATCCCCATACCCAGCCACATCATGCAAATCCTATTTGAGTCTGTTTTTACATTTTTTAAAATGTAAATTTACCAAATTACATCTAAATTTTGAACTATTTAACATCTTACCTATATGTTTGATCTGATTTCAAATAGCCCACAATTTTCTAATCATAATTCGCATATCTCATCAATGATGCATGACGTACAATTTTCTAGTAATAATTCGCATATCTCATCAATGATGCATGACGATGTGTTTCAAAACCTATTAACTTACACCTAAGATAAAATATTGAATAGTAGAAATTTTGGGTGTATTTGACAAATGACAAATTAATCAAAATATGCCTAGCTTATCAACTATTTATCATTTTAGCCATTTTCAACTATCCTATGATCATGTTTATTTTTATGAGGATTTTAAAATCAAATTAAAAATAATAAATAAAAAAGGGAAATTTATATATAAATCCCAATTTATTTTATTTAAAAATAATCAAATATACTTCATATTTTACATTTAAGTCCCAGTTTTTATGATATAAATATTTTAATTTATATCTTTTTCTACATATTAGATTAAGCTTAAATTTAAGATGTCCATACACACCTAAAAATTTAAAATAAATAAAATTATCAAATTACCCCTAAATAGTATAGGGGTAGTTCTCTTAGGTACATAAATTGGTAAATTTGTCCTATCCTAATAAACCTTGCTTTTCAACAACCACAGAAAATTGTGCTTTCAGACTTGGGTTAGGTTGAAGCCTTAAAAATTCAAAGCAAGAGGTACTCAAAATGATGTCAACAGATGTTGTCTGTGTGCTTGAAAACATTGTGATGATCTCAAAATCTATTTTTATATTTAGTTATGAAATTCAAAAGCTTCAAAATAGTGTAGAGCTAAAAAATCTACAAACCCTTGTAAAACTTGAAAGTAAATAGTCCAGGTTATACATTATATGTTGCACTATTTATTATTATTATTATTATTATTATTATTATTATTATTATTATTATTATTATTATTATTATTGTTTCAAACTTTTATTAATCACTAAAAACAAAGTATATCCATATATATATATATGGAGGTCGAGATGATTAAGTGGAGGGTTTTTTTTTTTTTATGTTAAAACGACCTTTTATAAATTTTTATGTCAGAACGTAAAATTGACACCTTATATAAATTTTTTCCCTTTTAAATTTTTTTCAAAGGGAGCGGACAAAAAAATAGCTCCCTTCATGGGGGGTATAAAATGTTGTCCGCGCGAGTGAATGAAAGCTGTGAGGATCCGGCGGGAGCACAAAATGTTTTAGCAAGAAGCCAAGACCGCGCAGCTTCGGCCCATGCTTCGACATGGGTTGACTCGGGAAACGGTAGTTCAAAGCTGAAACTTCTATTTTTTTTATTTTTTGTAAAATTCAAAGCGAAAACGCTTAAAAACAAGTTCATGAATGGCGGGCGGGGTACGCGACCTGGATCGCACGCCACGTGGTTTGAAAATTGGCCACAAAGTGACACGAGAGACACTAAAATAATCAGTCACTAACGAAACAAGTCAGAGGGATGAATGAAGACCCAACACAAAAGAGAGGGAGACTGAGGGCGTTCTATCTGAGACCGGCCTCTGGCCCGGATCGGGCTTGGGCTATCCCCTATTTACTAAAATACAAAAAAAAAAAATTAATGCCTCACTTCGAATCTTTATCCGAAAAATACTTTTGACGATAAAAATCTCTATGGTGGTTCTAAAATTAATTTTCAATATTGAATATATTATTATAATAAATCGAGATGATCTATTTAAAAGTATTTTTATTGTTGATTTGCAATTTTCAATGTGTTATGATGAGAGGGTTTCCTTATTTTGATAGTGCTATTGTCCTAAAAAAAGAAAAAAGAGCCTTCGGTGAAACCAGACTCGCCGCCTATCTTGGCTTGCTCGGCCTGTCTCGGGCTGGCGTGGGCCCAGCCCTCGGGCTACATTCATGCTCCGGGCTTTAATTTTTTGACCGGCGCTGCCGGGGTCCTACTGTCTCATCTCATCAGTGACAACAGTGGTTCGTTATGGGCATTATAAAACGCGAACAACCTGAGAGAAAAGGGAGTGATCCATCTCTCCAACTCGAGATTTAGCGTTCAGAGAGAGAGAGAGAGAGAGGTATTTTCAGAGAGAGAGAGAGAGAGAGAGTATTT